TCACTTGACAAGGAAGAATCCTTCCTCTTTAAACCATCAGTTACATTGCTCCGCGAGACTTCTCCCCTCGCTTGCTTTTCCCATACAGCACTTCCTCTGGGCTCACGACCATCTTTTTTTCCTACACTTGGTAATGTTTCCCTGGGGAGAGTCTCATTGGCCGATCTTGTGGAGTCATCCAGGGGAAGTGGCTTAGCATTGACATCCTTATCACTCTCTTTTTGAGTTGACTTTGCAAATATATCCCGCGGAGCAGTCCTATTTTCCGTGTCCGCATCAGAAGGGCTAGACACTTCCTTGTCACTTGGTTCCTTATTCGGCTGTTTTTGTGGCCTCCCTCTGGGATCAACCACATTACTACTACTCTTCTCACTCTTCTTTCCATCAGAGGCCAAAAGATTTTTCCCCGAATTCCCATGCCTTTTACCATCCTTCCTCAATCCCCGAATCCCAGATGTTCCACTGGGAGTACGAGGCTTAGAAGTACTGGTCCCCTGATTTGGAGCACCCAGAAGTTCTGTCCAGTCAGTGTCAGTTAGTGATGGTTTTTGCTGTGTCACCCTCTGTGACGGTGAACTTGTCCTTTCTTGGGATTGCTCTGATTTACGTAGATTTTTAGTGCTACTTAAGTAGCTCGGTTTTTGCTCTATTGAGTTTCTCTGAGATGATCCTCCACTGCCATAATCACTACCTTCAAATGTTTTCTTCTTCAACTGATCTTTCAAAGAAACAGGACTTCCAGATTTTGAAGAGGTCTCAAACACCTCCTCATGGGTCTCCGACTTCTCATCCTTTCGAAGAGACTCTGCTGCCTGCTGATCAAGCTGAAAAGCACAGTTTAAATAGTCCCAAATTAGCATATACTATTATTTTCCTACACAAGTTACTATAAATCAATCAAGTTCCATGACTTAAGAAAGAATCTAAAGTAACTTGTCTAATATACCTTGAAATGAATATATATACTGAAAACTGCAGATTAATGTGTACAATAACTCAACTCAGAAAAATCAGAACAAGCGAGTTCCTGAGATGAATGAGAAAACAGCAAGCGAAAAGACAAATTTTTGTATGAGATCACAAGTAGATTAGACTCAGCTACAGAATCTCGATAAAAAGGCAAGATTCAAGAATAGTATAAGCAGAAGTTGAAGCTTGGTTCCTGAGACAATGCAATGAACAGATGGTGTAACCAGTTGATTTAGACTAGTCCAAGCCTGGATCACATCAATTTCACAAGAATACCTAATCAAGGAAAGATATAAGAATACAATTCAAATACAAAATCCGTTTTCCCGGAAACTAAGACATCAATCTAAGAAGAGATTTCAAATCAAATGGAGAAAGTCCCAAAGCAAACCATCCAAAACATTCGGATCGAAATCAAACTAGAACCCAACGACTTCCAAATCCGGTTATTACATGGATTTTTTCCTCCGTTTTCTATGCGAAGAAAAGGAAAAAAGGGTAATGAGAGATTCGACATCGCACCTGTTGAAGAATCGTTTCGGCGGCTCTGAGCTTCGACGAGATCCAATTCGCCATTTTCTTCACTGATCCTTAGAGAAGAGAAGAGACTAGTGATCCATACGACACCGTTTTTGCACCGAAAGTGATTCAGAAATTGCAGTAGCGCATCAGAGAAGAAGAAGATTGTGAAGGTGTAATGCTACAGTGACGTGTCCGTGACGTAGTTAATTAGCAAACCCCGAAAGAGACTCCACACTAACCGAACCGATTCCGGTTCTATTTTCCGGTTTACATCTTAATTTGGCTCAATTGTTTTTTTTTTAATTCAATAATTTGGCTCAATTGTTCTTAATTCAGTCTGGGTATTCATGTCGGATTCGTGTCGGATCATATCGGTACCTGTAAGGTTTCGGGTTTTTCAAATCGAGTACAAGTTTGGATATTTGGATTCGGTTTTTATGACGATGCGTACATGCCTAGTTCTTATCGTTGCGTGGTCTCATGTGATTTTTCAATTCAACTTAAAAAATGTAATTAAAGCATTACAGAAATCCAGCCAAGTCAACATTTCAACAATTATAGAATTACATCATCAAATATTCAAAAATATATACAAAAAAAAAGCTAAATTTAATTACTTTAAACAACAATTGGAGAAAGTACTACTCAACGGTCGAGTGGCGGTAACTTCGTGAATATTTACGATCTCTTTACCGGCGGGAACGACCGTAGTACCTTCACCGTTAGATTTGTTGTCTGAAACGCTCTTTTGGATCAAAACCTCATGTATACGTCCGATCATGCTTAGAAACGCTTCTTCGACGTTTTGGTTCTCTAAAGCAGATGTTTCGAGGAAATAGAGACCCTCTAATTCAGCTAGAGTCTTACCTTCTTCCTCCTTAACTTCTCTTGATTGCCGGAGATCGGATTTGTTACCGACGAGAACAACGACGGTCTCGGGACTGGAGAAGTCTCTGAGCTCAGACAACCATTTGTTGATGTTTTTAAATGTTTGTCGTCTAGTGATGTCGTAGATAAGTAAAGCTCCTAAAGCTCCACGGTAATACGAACTCGTTATTGCTCTAAATCTTTGTTCCCCCAAAACAAATACATGGATTAAGATAACTTTAAAAGAAACATAGATTGTTAAATTAAATAATTAGCATCTTTCAATTGAACATATATTGTCGAAATAAATAGAAATATTTTTTTTTAATTGAGAAAAAAAAAAAAGAAAAGGTCGCCACATTTAACAAAAATATTAGGTCCGAGTGACATTGATTGCTTATCAAGATTATCATTTTCTTCTTCTACGCGTGATCTAGTCTTTTCCTAATCATTATCCCAATCCTATAATTGTATATTTTTCTATTGCTTTTTTCACATATTTACTATGAACACATGAAAACACGACGAGAATTTTACAAATTTGACGTCTTCTTTAGGTTTCAGTATACAATATTAGAATTTATAAACAAATCTTAAAGGAAGTATTTTCATTGTGAAATTGATTATAGCATCGGCCGTCTCC